CAGAAGGCAGGAATGTATTTAGCCCATTCCACCAAGACTAAGAGCTGCTGCTTCATGGATTCACAGACATCACCAATACTTGCAATTTTCTTAACGTTTATGTCAGTGCTTACTCCGGGACTTGAGACTGAGATCTATTAAAAGGATATTATATTAATTCATTATTTAAAATAACACACGGCCAACATATAATTGTTTTAAGTAAACCCTACTGAAGTACGCACTATCATTGCCACACTATCCTGAAATACATTAAATTTGTGTATGTGTGTGTTTTTGGTTTAGTTTTGCAATCTAGGAATTGAACCCAGAATCTCATGCATGCTAGCAATTGCTCTACCTCTGAGCTTGACCCTCAGATACATATAAGGCATTTTTACTTTGAGAAAATAAAATATATATCAGTTTACAAGTTAAGCTGAAAGTATTCAGTACATACCACCATGATCCAGAAGCTGTATCTTATTTTAAAAGCCCAATATATAAAACAAGTTTCCACAACTTTTGGGAAGACTTACAATTCAAATTGGCTACATAAAAAGATAAGTAGTATCCACATGAAATATGCATTATGATCCTATTCTTAATTTAAAAATTATATTTACAGAGGGCACAGTGGCAACCTCATGAAATCCCAGCAACTCGGGATGCTGAAGCAGGAGAATCAAAGTTCTGAGGCCAGACTGGGCAACTTAGTGAGACCCCATCTAGAAATAATTTTAAAATGTCGGGGTATACTAGCTCAGTGTGAGGCCATGAGTTCAATTGCCATCCCCACTACCAGAAAAAAAAATGATATTTCCATTAAGGGAGTCTATCTTTAATTTGTTAATGTTTATGAAGAAAACATTGACACAGTAGATGTAGTTTACTAAACTAGGGAGAAGAGATTTAGATGAGAAGTCAGAACTATTTATGCTGTAAGATTAAATGGGAGCCATCAAAATAAAATCAAGAAATGAACCCTTGACTCAGTAACATTGAAGACCTTAGCATGTACAATTCAAACTGTGTAAACATTGAACTCTATAAAAATGTAGTGGTGTTTTTAAAAAGCGGTGAAAAATACACTTTAAAAGTTTTTTTAAAGTTTTTGTGAACTTAATTTTTGAACATGCGTGTGTGTGTATGTGTCTTTATGTGTACCCAGATATTTCCTCATAGATTTCCTTTAAGCCACTTGGTTAAAGCTTTATTGGACCATCAAGCAATCTTCAAGTAATAATGATAATGGGGATATTAACCTCATCATATTACCCTGGTGTAATCAAAAAGGAAAGTAGTCTCACTGTCTCTTTATAGGAACTGATTACTTACCTATTTCATAATTTTCTTTGTAATGGAAAAATATTATTAACATTGTAATGGGAGTGATGCTAAAATAAACTTTCTTAAAGGATTTCTTTATGGAATTCTTAAGTGATTTATTTTTATCTCTATTATGACTTTCAACTTTAAACCTGATATTCTAGAAATTTAAAATAATAAAGCTGTATTTCATTATATTTTCCAAATTCTGGTTTTTCATTTAAATACCTGTTTGCAAAGCAGATGCCAAGATAACTTCTAGAGTCCAGAAGTCTTTTGAAGGAAAGAAATTCTGATGACAATTCTCAACCAGCCTCTCCAAGAGTTGTAGCAGCTAATTTTACAGACTCAACCAATAAAATGAAATGTTCCCCCCACCAGAACATTGTAGTGTGCAATAAGGTCTTTTAATCAGTCTTATAACTCTTTTCTCAAACAACCTTAAACTAAAATTTATTTCATTTTTTAATTTAAAAATGAGATCATGTCCAAGGAAAGTCACAATTCAGTCAGCAGTCTCACTAATAGTCTCAAATTAACACTTAACTTGTGTAGATCTACTTCACATTAGTAATGAGTCTACTGAGCTTCTTTTAGCATTATGTGTAAAGAGACATTTGATTCTATTAAAGGAAGCTGGATGCTGTAGTGCATCAGTTACCTGGAGAGACCGAATTTCCGCTTGAGCCAGTGTGTTAATGGAAGGGATGTTGCTGCCATCAAGTGTGCTTCTTCTGGTGCTTATTCTATCACGTTCATTTTGAACAGCTGAGGGCGAAACCACAGTGTTTGCTGGTCAGATCTCTTTAATATATAACATGACATCCAGTTTGAAGTTAAAAAAAGGTACAAAAAGTGAGAAATGTCCTTTCTAAAAGACTTGGATGACAGAAAGTTAAGAATGAAGATCTTTTCATCCTATACCACTTTTGAAAGTAAGAGAAGCCAGGCTTGGCAATAGAGTTCATAAGACACGGGTGTTTGGAAGTTCGTGATGGCATGCATATACATGAGACAGTGTTAGGCCAACCAGTTCCGCCATGCTGTATTTTCAATAGGTTGGCTTTTTATTCTCTGAAAGGTAATAACACTATATGATAACTAGGGAAAGATTACCGCCTGTGAGATTGATCAGGTCAAAGACAACAGTGTGTTTACTGTCAGAAGGTATGAGTCATAGATTTTGGAATTCTATTTTCTTTTTCCTGTAAAACACTACCAAAATGGAAAATAAATGTTTTTACTTAAGATAGTTTTAAGATTGCAATCTTATCTAATGAAAGATTGTCCTTGGGACAGTTTATGGACATTAATAAAAAAATGTTGTACCAGTGTGAGTTATCTCCTGAGAATAATAAAGTTTGTGTATCAACTGTTTGGGAAGAGGAAGAAGTTCTTCATACTGTGTTTCAAAAAAGGTCTCTAAGAGAGCTAGATCTGCTTTTTTATTTCAGAAAGGAAAGAATGACTAATGTATTTTTCCAAATATCTTATTCAAAGCTACATTTTTAAATAAAAAGAAGAGTGAAAAAGGAAGTTGTAATACATTTTTATAAACACTGCTCATATAAAGAATAATAATGATCAGATATCAAAGCTAAATTTTAAAACTTGAGATACATACATATATATATATAATTATCTTCTATTAACCAAAGAAAAGAAAATCCAGGCCTGTAGCCCTTAAATTATTTAAGTTAATGCTGTGCTCTGTTCTGTGGGGAAAACAAGGCATTAAGATCTCAATTTTTTTCTGTAATTATCCTATTTTTAAAGAAATGCACCGAGTTTTATGCTAAAGGTATGTAGAAGAGATTCAAAAATTACAATTAAGGATCAAGTTCATTAATTTAGAATAGAAAGTATTGGGCTTTTTGTCTTTAAGAAAGAGTAAGTAGTCTTTAAGATTGAATGAATCATTAATATTTCATTTCAAAATCACATTTAGTGATACCTTATTTTTTTCTAAACATAAATGTTTATTGATTTTCAACCTAAGCTGACTCATTTGGAAATGCACACGCAGAGATAAAAAGTAAGATGTTTGCTATAATTTTATAAATTTCATCACATAATCTTTAGAAAAAATTAAAAGATACTGTGAACATGGATATTATTTTCAGATTTCAATTTTGACATAATCATGTTCATATATTTATTTTGAATGAATCTCTATACTAAGCTATTACTGTAAAGAAGGGAAATAGCCAGATGTGGTGGTACACACCTATAATCTCAGAACTTGGGCTGTTGAGGCAGGAGGACTGCCATGAGTTTGAGGTCAGCCTGAGCTACTTAGTAAACTCAAGGCCAGCCTGAACTACAAAGGATGACCTTGTCTCCCCCCCAAAAAAAAAAGTTAAAGAAAAAAATTTCACTGTTTTCAGAAACACTTTATTTTACTGCTGTAAAAGTCAGGAAAGAAATATGATTGTGATTTTTTTTTATAAGCTTATGGAAGTAAAGATTGAGGCTCAAGCAGAAGTGGCTAAAGACAACTAATAAAGTTTGTTATTAATCATGTAAGTACCCAGTAGAGCTCTAGAATATTAGAAATGGCATTTCTGAAATAAGATACTTGTCCTTCAATTTTATGAACTTAATTTTTTTGTTGTCCTCTTTAAAGTGTGATAATCTGAGAAAGTTAATGGAATTTCTGTAATTTTACAATAAAGACAAAGAAAATCACCAGCTATGCTTAAGATAGATTTTATATACTTTATACTTCTGTTGTGTATTGATTTAATTTTTAATATTTGAGATACAGTTATAAAAATATCTCTTTGTATATGAAAGAAACAGTAATGTAGTAAAACTGATAGGCATGAAACCTTGTAGTTGTTACACCTGCCAAATGTTTAAAATGTGTTCAACAATTTTGTGTCTAAACTAACTACATTTAGAATATAGAAAAACATAATCAGATCATTTAAGGTGTTCAAAATGATATTAATATACACTAAATTTATATATCTAATCTACTGTGTCCCTGCGTAGAATATAAACTTCCTAAAGGGGAGAATTGGTTTGCCTATTTTGTTCAGTACTGAAACCTCAGCACCTAGAGCAGTGTTTAGGAAATGGTAGTGTTCAATAAATATCTGTTGAGTGGATAAATGAATCAAAAAGTAAATGTTTAGTTAATGTTCATAAAATGAATAAATAAACTCAATAGTTATGAGAATAAAAATGTGTTTAAAATACAATTACAATTTCAATCTATTGACAGAATGTGCCACTTACCTTTTGAACAGGATATTAGAATGTTCTTTTTACAAGAATTTTGTTGCCAGAAATAGCATAAAGTTTAGAAGAATGGTGTCAGTAGCCAGAGAGCATAGCTGGATACCCTTGGGCTAAATTCTTTAACTCAAGACACTTGTTAGCAGATTCCTCATATATGGAGGAACAGAGAACTCATGCAAAAGGTAATTGTGATTAATGAGAATGTGTATGCTTATCATTTTTCATCAATAATGTTAATTATCATTATCATCACCTTCTTTTTTCATTCCTGCTCTAAAACATTTTCTTAATCGACAGTATCTACATTGATTCCTTTTGTCCTTGTCAACAACACATTGGCGACTGAATCTGTAACATCAAGTAAAGATATGTTAGTTTACAGAAAGCTACCATTTATCAAAAAGGCAAAACCAAACAAAATGACTTTAAGATAGTCAAATTTGACTTAATAGAAAGAATGCATAAGAACAATTAATTAAGAATTTTTATTCTCAAGATCAGTGTGTACATTCAAATATAAACTTCACCTCTTCTTAGTCTTTATAATAAAGTAAAACTGAATAACTAATCCCTCGTTTTGGCCAGTGTACATTATAATTTCTATCATGACTCACAAAAGGAAAATCTAGTTTTAAAATTAATGCATATAAATTCTATCTAGTTGCTTATTGCAAAATGATTTCAGTGTGTTGGAGAATATAGTAGAACTTTAATTCCCTGTACTTTCAAGCTATTTTTCTTTTTATATATTATTCTATTAATTTAAATGACCTCACTTCCAAATGAAATTTACTGTAAATAAAAAATTACATATTGAAAGACCACTGAGAACAACACAGAGCATATAATTTCTGCATAATGATACACCACTTCACATGCATTATAATGGCTATAAATTGGAAAAAAATTATAAGTGTTAGTGAAGATGTGGAAAAATTGGAGTCCTCATACATTGCTGATCAGATGAGTGAGTGATGCATTTGTTTTGGAATAAAGTTAGGATATTTGTCAAAAGTGAGAACTACCATATGATTCAGTAATTCCATGCTCGGTGTATACCCAAAGAAATAAAAAACATATGTCCATAGCAACATTACACATAATAGCCAAAAAAGTGAGGCAGTGAATAAATAAAATGTGGCATGCCCATACAAAGAAATATGATTATTTATCAATAAGTAGGAATGAAGTACTTATACATGCTACAACCTGTATGACCCTCTGGAAATACTTCTATTACAAATGAAGAAAGTCAGACATAAAAATCCACATGTATGATTTCACTCATATGAAATGTCCAGGAGAGGTAAATCTATAGAATTATAAAGTAAATTTGTAGTTGTCTCACATTGCTTAGAGGGATTTGGGAGAGCTGGAGAGTGGCGGCTATAGGGGTTTTTTTTATATGGTGATGCAAATGTTCCAAATTGATTGCAGGGATAGTTGCACAAGTCTAAATAGGCTAAAACACGGAATTATATATTCAGAAAATGACAATTTGTGGAATTAGATTTGATTCTGATTCTCAGGTTAATCATCCACTCTCTGTACAACTTGGGGATGTTAACACCAGTCTACCATTGTAAAATGGAGAAAAAGTTTTCTTTTAAAGGGTTTTAGTGCAAATGTACTATAGCGTTTTGGGCACATATTAATAATATGCTAAAACATATCATTTCTTTGAAATTCTTACCCATATGTATTGTTATATCCTGGTTGTTTTTAGTTAATTACTAAATAGTGAGAATAAAGTAATATATTCTGTGACCTACAAAAATTTCCTTACCTGAGTGTGGTGGCACATGACTATAATCTCAGCTTTTTGGGAGGTTGAGGAAGAAAGATCTTGTGTTTGAGGTCAGCCTAGGAAATTTAGTGAAACTCTACCTCAAAAAAAAAAAAAATTTCAAAGGGCTGAAGATACAGCTCAGTGCAGTGGCCTTGAGTTCAATTCCTAGCATCGTAAAAAATAATAACAAATAAATAAAATTCTTTAAACTGAGCAGCCACTTGAAACTGAATGAGAAATAAAGCCTACTTCAAAAGAGTTGAGGTAAAAGAGAGAGATACTTTCAGAGTGAGGGAAAAAAAAGCCCTGTTCATTTTGAGTGTGGGAATGAGGAGATTCAGGAAAGATTACTAAAAATCATAAGGAAAGTATAGACAATTAACATTAAATTTATAACAAAGCTTGAATAAACATGATTAACCATCAAGTATGGACAGGATGCTGGTGCAGGGAATAAAGAGTTGAATATTGCCCGTTTCTTCCATTCAAGAACATTACAAGTTAATAAAGTACACAATCAAGTTTACAAATAGCCATTATTGAAACCTTTGTGTGCAAGGTACGGAAACAAGAAGTTAAAATGCTTTAGGATGCAAACCCCAGCTTTAGTGGGATGGAATGAAACCTAATCTATGAATCTAAAGAAATGAATAAAATTGAGAACAGCAAAACCTGAGGCTAAAATAAATGTTATTCCTCTAAATTTGCACAATATTATTACTACTATCCAAATGGAAAATCATAGCATTTGCTTATTATCAAAACATGTAAAGAGGGGTTAGCTTCAGCAGTGTTTTATCCAAAACTCATATAAATATTATTTCTTTATTAAATTTTTAAGGTGGGTAATTTACATTTCTTTAAAACTGCATCAAACTCTCTTGGAAAAATCACTTGAGAAAAATGGGTACATTTGGGGAAGTTATGTATTAACTTTTATTTTATCCTGAGAAAACAAATGGCACGATGATTGAAGAGAACTTTTTCTAAAATGTCCATTTAGTTCTTAAAATAATGTAATAATGCTAACGTGGTTTTCTTTGATAGAGCAAGCACAGACTTTCTTGTGTTAGAATTCATCATATTTGTCCACAGCCTATTTTCCATCAACATGTCATCTGCATTTTAATATTGTCATACCAATCAAGGTGAACCTAAACTGAGCTGTGATGTTGATTAGAAAAAGGTTTTAAAGTCTACTAGATATTGTAACACATAAACTATAGCTAAATATCTTCAGACAAAACATTAAAGTCCAATGGCCAAAAAAAAATAGAGCATGAGACATAAATTTTAAAATTTAGAACTTAAAATTAAATTTCATTTATTGAAAGCAACATGCTACAAAATCTTCTGCAATTTTATAATTTTGTTTTAAAAGATCTATGAAATAGTGACAATGAAAAGAAAATCCACATACAGAAAAAACACAGGTTGCGAAATCATTTAGATACAGATTTTAAAATGTTTACTGGTATATGAACATGTGGTAAAACAATAAAGAGACCCAAGGAAAATTTCACACCAAAATCCATTTGGTTATTAGCCTGGAGGGACTAGCGAGAAACACCAAGCGGCTGGGGAGGTGTCCCCCGGAGAACTCAACTATGTTGGTCTCAACTGGGTGGTAGAGATGTGAAATTCTTATATACTTTTTATATGTTTAAAATCTATCATAAAAGAGAACCACCTGTGCGAATGCATCATGCATAACCATCCACACATCCTCCTTTTTATTGCAGCTTCGAGACTGTTCACCAAGCTACGGATATAAGAGAGCTCGAAGTTTTCTTCCCTTACTTCTTGCACACTATTTTCAAGCTTCTCTTAAGATTAACTCTCCTAAAGGGAGCATTTCACAAACCTGCAGGAGTAAACATGACTCTTGCGTATGCTGCGTCTGAAGAAGCCTTTGCACCCATCACAGCTTGATGCCCCATAGTGCTTCCCTGTTGCTCTGTCCCCACATATTGCACATAGACAGTTGACACCGTTGTCTGTGGTATTCATACTTGTAGTCTCTGGGGCAGAATTATCTGTTAAAGAATAAAGTTAGAATTAGTGCCGTATTGACTAAATTGCTCTGTTCATTATTCATAGGCCTAGAATAGTCCAATCCTTGGCTTGTTGGAGACTCCACAAAAGTGCTTTTCTTTTGACCCAGGGCTGCTTCCATTCTACCCATTAAATTTTGGGACACTGTATGGCTCAATTCTCCAACTATAGTCCCAAGGGAGGCTCATGCAATCTCGAGATTTAAAACATCATCTCTATGATGGAAAAGTCCTCAAACCTTATTTTTACTCTGACATCTCCTATGTGCATCAGTCTGCATGCTTCAGTACTATTAAGACTCTCACTTTAGCCAGGTGTGAGGGTGTACATCTGGCTGTAACCCCAGCACTCTTTGAGGTTTGGGCAAGAGGATCTCAAGTTCTAGTCGTACCTACAGAACTTCGCTAGACCATATGTCAAAAAATAGAAAGGAAGGAAGGAAGGAAGGAAGGAAGGAAGGAAGGAAGGAAGGAAGGAAAGCACTGGAGATGTATCTCAGTTTAAAAACTCTGGATTCAATCCTCAAGAACACAAACAAACAAAGAAACCCCACAAAGGCTTCACTTGGAAATCAAGAATCACAAATTAATATATCAAAAACAGAACTTTAATTTTTTTCCGGTAGAACTTATTTTCCCTCTGGGCTTCCCTATATCAGCCAATGGTCCCATCTAGTTCCTAGAACCAATAACTTTAGAGTCTTCCTGCAATCCTCTCCATCATCCTTCAAATTTAACCCATTAGTAAACACACATTTAAAACACACATTTAATCTAAAACTTCTCACTCTTTCACCATGACCATCCTTATCCAGTCTGTCACACCTTTCCCCTGCTTCATTGAAATAACATCCTATCTGATTTTCCTACTTTCGCTCTTGCTCCCCTACAATGTAAGTATTACCTAGAACTACCAGAGTGATCTGGGTGGAAGAAACTCATACCTCGTCACCCTTCTTGGTAAACTCTGCCATGACTTGTCCTTAGATACTGAATAAAGCCAATGCAGTTTGCCAGGGCTGATAAGCCACTGCCCTCACCAAACTACCTCTCTCTGTATCCGGTACCACTCCCCTTCCATCCTGTTCACTCTTCTCCAGCAATGCTGCCCTTCTTTTTTTTTTTTTTCTATTCTCATCTTGGAAATTTTACACTTGCTTGGAAGGAAAGTTTTTCTCCAATACTTTCTTTGAGTGAGCTATCAGGTTTCTGTTCAACTTTCATATTTTGTGTGAAACCTTTCCTAACCATACATATAAAAGAGTCAATTCCCATCTGCCTTGCAGAATAAGAATAAGCTTTGTTTATTGATTCTTCAATAACAATGACATTGCCTGAAATTATATTATATATTGGTTTCATCATGTATTATCCATGTTTACATGGATGTCATGGAATTTATGTCATTACACAAACCCCTACCTCCATTTTCCAGCTCTTAGGATGATGCCTGGCATATAGTGAGTATCTAATGTATAGTTAGGAAGGACAGGACATTAAAAATTATATATGTAGGGCCAGGCATTTAGCTCAGTGGTTCCGCTGCCTGCTTCACAAGCGCAAGGACCCAAGTTTGATCCCTGGCACCAAAAAAAGAAAAAAAAAATTGTATGTGTAGAGCTGGGGATCTAGCTCAGTTTTAGAGCCCTTGTCTAGTATGTGCAAGGGCCTGGGTTCAAATCCCAAGTACTGATATATATTTAGTTTGTCAATAAATTAATATTGTTGATAAGATCTTTAAAAATTGGTATGTATTCAAGATGTTAAATCT